CGGCTGGACGCGCAGAGTGTCCCCTGTGCGCCACCGGTTGCTTCGGAACAGAGTGCCCCGCTGTCCCCTGTGGCGGCGGCTCCAGCCTCGGCGCCCGATGCGCCATGCGGGCGCGGCGGGCACGAGACAGCGACGCCAACGCTGAATGGCCGCGGTATCTTCCACCTTCCCCAAGTGCTGGCTGAGGTGCGCGACCAACTTATCCAAGCGGGTCTTGGATCAGGCACGCCGAACTTCGAGCAGTCCTACTTCGTTTTTGGCATGCCCGAGCCTCTCGCTTATCTGCCACGCGCAGGTACGCGGAGACATGATGTCTGCCTGTGGGGCGACGCGCATGGCGTTAGGGGCCCCGTTTCTTACACCGACGGGTCTGGTTGCGACTCAGGTGTTCCCGAGGTGCGGAGATGTGGACAAGCTGTTGTGCAGCTTGATCCTTACTCTTCGCTCCCAGTTAGGGCGCGGTTCGGGCCCCTTCCGTACTTGGTGCAGACTGTCGGCCGTGCTGAGAGGTACGCGATCAGGGAGGGGCTCGACGCTTTCCCTGACCGCCAGTGCTTCGTCACTGACCTGCTGGCGCTCGCCCAGGAAGGAGAGCGTTGGTGTCCCGATCTCGAGCAGGGTCGTGTCAAGCATGCTCGAGTGTGGCGGGGCATCTTCGTGGCCAGCCGCAGGCGCACTCTGCGAGGCCCTCCCAAGATCCGATGGACGTCTGCGCACAGGTCCTCGGAGGAGCTTATGGGCACAGCCGCAGGAGCTGCGTGACTGGCTAGGCAGCGGCTAGGCAGACTACTTCGCGCGCTGTGGTGCGGCCTCTCACGCACTGGCTGGGTCGGTAGCTGAGGCGGTAACAGCTGCGCTGAAACAGCACCGCAAGGTCCTGCGGCACTGCAGGTGGCGGCTCGCAAACAATGGGGATGCGACGTGGAGGTCCCCAGGCCACCTTGCGAGCAGGTCAGGCCCATTGTGGTGGGACGCAGTACGGACCATGTGCTTGCTTACTGCGCCAGCCTCGGGCGGTGCCGATGTACCCAATGCGGTGTCACGGCCACAACGGGCTCCGCGAGTCGCTGCAAACTGGCTCTCATCGTGTATGTCGCCCGTCGCGTGTTGCCAGTGCTCTCAACGCCGAGTACTTCCGCGCCTTCGGCGAGGGCTGGGTTCTCTGCAGCGACCAGAGGGCTGGCATGGCCCTGAGCCCCCGCAGCCTTGTTGCCACCTGCCCTGGCAGAGGAAGTTGGGGACGCATTCGCTGCGTTCGGGCACGACGTGTTCAGGGCAACCGTGTTTACTGTTGCAGGCGCTGCGGGTCTCACTGTGCTGCGGGGGATGTCCGCACAGTGCGGAAGCTTGGCTTGAGGTGCGTTGGGCTCTCGCCCGGCGAGTCCACGCGCCGCGGCCAGCAAGATGCGATCAGGCGTGTCGAGAGGGGCCTGGCGCCTCGTGCCCGCGGCGCCCCTGCAGCGCCGCCCCCGCAGGGGGGCTCCTCTTGCAGCCGCGCGGCAGGTTGATCGACCATGTCGTGATTCGCTGCCGTTCCGTGGTCGGCTGGTGGCACGGCGTCTTCTTCGGTGGCGACGCCTCCTTCGTCGGCGGCAAGTTGGCCTGCGTCGACGCGCCCCTGACCGTCTTCCTCTCCCTGCCCTCTCTGCCATCGTGGCGCGAGGGCGCTTCGGCGTAGTCCGTCGGGCGCGCGCCAGCGCGGCCGGCGGGGGGCGCTCGAGAGGCGCTGCGTTCCTCCTCCTCCTCCTCCTCCTCCTCCTCCTCCTCCTCCTCCTCCTCCTCCTCCTCCCCCCTTGCCCCGAAAGGGGGCTCTCCCGTAGGGGTGGGTGGGGGGGGGGGCGGGCTCCAGGGCCCTCCTGTCGTAGGCGGGGAGCGCCGGGCCCGAGAGGCGAAAAGCCCCCGCTCCCTTGGGACGGCCCCCATAAGCGGGGTCCCCTTTTCAGGGGGGCAGCCAGGTCCCGGGGCCTGCCCCAGGGCGGCGCAGGGTTCTCCCCCTCCGTTTGCTGCCTTGGGGCGGGACTGGCTGTCCGTCTTCCCTGTCGTGTTGCCGTCGTCGTCGTCGTCGTCGTCGTCGTCGTCGTCGTTGGCCCCGGGGCCCCTCCGGTTTTTTGCCCGCGTCCCTTGGGTGCGCGGGGGGCCCTGCCTGTTCGGCTCTCCCCCTTCGCGGGGGCGGTTCCCGTGCGGGCGAAGCTTCCCGTCTGCCCGTGGGGCGCGGCTTTTTCCTCGTCGCGGTGGCGGGGCGCCGCGCGGCCGCGCGGCCGCGCGCGACAACCCGCGGATGCGCGGCTGTGTTGGAGCGCGGGAACAAATCCTCCTCCCCCTCTCCTTCCTCCTCCCTCTGAACCTCAGCTTGGAGGCTGGTCTGGGACCTCTTGAGAGTCTCTTGGGAGTCTTTTTAGGGATTCTGAGGGCCGGCTAGGAGGCATGTGTGGGTCTGCTGGGGGCTTCTGGCAGCCTCTTGTAAGCCGCTTGGGGGCTTCTGGCAGCCTCGCAAGGCCTCTCGGGGGCGTCGTGGAGGCCTCTGGATGCCTCCTGGGGGCCTTCTGGGCGTTTCTGGCGGCAGTATTGAACGAACGGCTCCCGCGGCCAGCTCGATTTCACCCTCGTGGACCCCATCTTGGGGCTTTAAGGGGGCCTCCTGGGCCGTTTGGGTGCCTTTTGGGCGGTCTGGGGCCCTTCTGAGCTGTCTTGCGACCTCTTGGACCGTCTTGGAGCCCCGTGGAGCCCTCTTGCGCATTCTTTGGGTCCTCTTGGTGGCCTTCTCGACCGTCTTCGACTTCCGGAGCCACAAAAGGGCAAGCATACCAACACCCTTGCAACGATCAAAAAGAACGAACTGCCCAGTTCGTGCCTCTTGTTTATCTCGTGGACGTTCGTTCGGGGCCTTCTTAGGGCATCGTTGGGGCCTCGTGGGCTATCTTGGGGGTTTCCTGGGCCATCTTAGTGCCCTCTTGGGTCCTCTATAGATTTGTTGTTGGCAGCCTTGGGACCGCTTCGGGGGTCTTTCGGTGTCTTTGGTTTTTACTTAACAGCGAAGACTGACAGGTTTCTAATGGTCTCAAAAGAAAGCATCTTGACTCCTCAGGGGTGTCTGGGCAGATGCCGGACGGGTGCCGGGGAGGATCCGCGGAAGTCGTTTTAAGCAAACAGTTACACACTTCGTGGTCTTCAAGGTCCCAGAACTCCATTCCTGGGCATGTTTTTGAATGCCCGGAGCCAGCTGTAGGCCATTTCGTGGTCTTCGAATTCCCAGAATTCTATTCCTGGGTATGATTTTGAATGCCCGGAGCCAGCTGTAGGCCACTTCGTGGTCTTCGAGTTCCCAAAATTCCACTCCTGGGCATGATTTCGAATGCCCAGAGCCAACTGTAGGCCACTTCGTGGCCTTCGAAGTCCCAAAACTCCATTCCCGGGCATGATTTTGATTGCCCGGAGCCAACTGTAGGCCACTTTGTGGTCTTCGAGCTCCCAGAATTCCATTCCTGGGCATGATTTTGCATGTCCGGAGCCAGCTGTGGGCCACTTCGTGTTCTTCGAATTCCTAGAACCCCATTCCTGGGCATGATTTTGAATGCCCGGAGCCAACTGCAGGCCACTTCGTGTTCTTCGAGTTCCCAGAACTCCATTCCCGGGCCACATTTTGAATGCTGAGGCAGGCTGAGGCTGAGGCTGAATCAGGCTGAGGCTGAGGCTGAGGCAGGCTGAGGCTGAGGCTGAGGCAGGCTGAGCTGAGGCAGGCTGAGGCTGAGGCTGAGGCTGATGCAGTCTGAGGCTGAGGCAGGCTGAGGCTGAGGCCGAGGCTGAAGGCAGACTGAGGCTGAGGCTGAAGCAGGCTGAGGCTGAGGCTGAGGCAGGCTGAGGCTGAGGCTGATGCAGGCTGAGGCTGAGGCAGGCTGAGGCTGAGGCTGAGGCTGAGGCTGAGGCAGGCTGAGGCTGAGGCAGGCTGAGGCTGAGGCCGAGGCTGAAGGCAGACTGAGGCTGAGGCTGAAGCAGGCTGAGGCTGAGGCTGAGGCTGAGGCTGAGGCTGAGGCTGAGGCTGAGGCAGGCTGAGGCTGAGGCTGAGGCTGATGCAGGCTGAGGCTGAGGCAGGCTGAGGCTGAGGCCGAGGCTGAAGGCAGACTGAGGCTGAGGCTGAAGCAGGCTGAGGCTGAGGCTGAGGCTGAGGCTGAGGAAGGCTGAGGCTGAGGCTGAGGCAGGCTGATGCTGAGGCAGGCTGAGGCTGAGGCTGAGGCTGATGCAGGCTGAGGCTGAGGCAGGCTGAGGCTGAGGCCGAGGCTGAAGGCAGACTGAGGCTGAGGCTGAAGCAGGCTGAGGCTGAGGCTGAGGCAGGCTGAGGCTGAGGCTGAGGCAGGCTGAGGCAGGCTGAGGCTGAGGCTGTGACTGCGACTGCCGTTGCCACTGCGACTGTCATCGCGAATGCGACTGCGACTGCGAGAACAGCAGAATTCTTCAACTGGATTCTCATCTGAATCTTAAGGGGAATGATTCCAGATATGCTCCTACACATCGCTGTTAGGTTGCTTTGCCAGGATAATTTCGGGGGTTGGGATTTGTTGGGTTGTGTATTGTGTTTGCTGTTGCTATCTGGGATGGTTTCGGGTGTGTTTGATGTTTTGGGGGGTGTTGTTTTACCTCCCCCTCGGCCAATGTCTTTCCTCGGCCAGAGCCTCTCCAAACGATAATTCCAGTGTGGGAATTGCCCAACACCGGCTGCAGAGACGGGGGGCTGTCTTCGGACGACGCGTACGAAGGGGGGGGGTCGGCCTATAACACGAAAGAGACAAGAGACCTCCACTTGACAGCTGGGGAGCATGCTTACACGCCCCAGCGTGGCAAGCACGGTGGCGGATGTGTTCATCATGCGATGGATGCATGGGAGAGCGGCGGGATCATGGGGTTG